CTTTACGGTGAAAGAAGAGACAGGGGAACCAGGGGGAAAGAGCCGTGGGCAGTCTAGATTTCTGGGGTCAGTGACCGGCCAGAGGCCCACACCGCGTGGGGGTGGGGCGGAGGCCGGTGTGCACCAGTCACTCCCCTGAGCGTGGGCCCTCCTGGAGTGGCAGGTTAGAATGTTCCCATGGTGTGTGCAGTGGCCCTTAGGTGGGATTTTCCACCCTGCCCAGGCATGTGCTCTGGTGTTGGGTTTCCAGGGTCTGGGTAGCCTGCACCTGCTGTCCCTCCTTGGTTCAGTCCATCACACACGCAGAGTCCTTGTGTAGGCTGGGCTGCACCTCAAGGGACCAGGAGGAGGGGGATCAGATTAGCCCTTGCCCCTGGATGTCCCAGCCTGGGTGGGAGATGGCCCAGACCAAGCAGTACCAGCAGTGCAGGCAGCCGGACAGTAGTCCCGTCCTAGTGGGCGTCTCAGGCCGGCTTTGTGCTGGAGGTTTAGGGTCTGCTGCTGCTGGTGCAGGGGCGGGTGTGGGGGGCTGTGCCTAGAGCCTCTAAGGGCCTGAAAGGACTCACTGACCAGAGGGACCCTGATGGGTATGAGAGTGGACGGGCGAGTTGTAAAGGCCCCCGTATGCTGGGCCAGGGAGTTGGGCTTTGCTTTGGGGTGGAGGTTCTTAAACGTGCTGATGGCTGAGCCCCCGGGTGTCCCAGTGCTGTGTGAAGTGTCTGGAAATGTGGATACACTTAATTCTGTCCTACAAGCATCAACACTCCTTGGCCACGCTATAAAATCACCACTGTGAGCTCACACGTGCCTGATAAACTGTGTCATCGGCTGGTTCTGAGGTTTTATTTTAACACACATTTGCTACTCATCTGCATGTGGAGGCAGCTGTCCAAGTTTTAGAAAACTACTCTTGGAGTCACATATGAATACGTATATGTACACGAATCCACGCGTTCATGTGAGAGGTGTCTCTTCAGTCATCTAACATTTTTTCGGTGGGAATTGGCCTGTGTGGGGTAAGCTAGTTCTCTGGGTTATGGGGATAGTGGGGCACTGGGCAGGGG